GCAAGTAAACATAACATAAACAAATTGATAAACAAACAAATGATACGAAATTCAAACATTAACAGGATGCGGTGAAAGAAGAACTAGTTCAAGATAGAATTCTAGCGGTAGTTGATTCACCTATACTAGTTCTTTAGTACATAATGTTACCTATCGATAATTTGCTATCGCCATTTTGGCGCACTCGCAATTAATTTTAAAATATCTGCTCCTTGCATAATTCAATTGCTTTAAATTTATATATTTACAGTGCAAATTTTATTGAGAGGGAGAGAGAGAGAGGACTAGGCGTCCACAATAACAAAAGTGAGAATTTTTTTTTTTAGTTTTTAGTTTTTGTTTTAAACTAGAGGAGTTAGTTTAATACGCTATACACATTAGGTAATTATATATTGTCATTTGGTGCATTTAGTGTGCTAAATTAAATTAATTAAAAACTACATATACATATTGGTTACAAAATTAGTATTTGCAAATTGGATTCGTTACGCATTAGTGCAATGAGTGACTTAGTCACTGATAATTGTTAATTTTGCCGATAACTGGTCAGGTAATCGTAATTGGGTCTCAAGTAACAATTTGTCATACAGCTAATCAGATGCGAGTGTTTCGTACGGATCATAAATAAAAATTGAAAACGGATCCACCTAAGGGTGAAAGAGCACTAATTGCATTTGCAAATAATAATATCGTATGTGGGGTGTAATCAGATATAGAGAAAGACATATGGTTTATAATCGTATTACTGGCTAAATATTTGGATAGGGCTTTCGGGTGAAAATAAGGGTGGCGGGAATATTGGGATACTTACGGTTGCTTGTGCACAACTTCGCCAACGTATCTGGGGGGCATGAATATATATAGGTATACATATACATACATAAATATATATATATGTTATATGCATAGATATATATATATATATTGGAGGCGTGGGCACAGTTAACGGTAAACGGGTAGCGGTTGCGTGTGTGTGTGTGGGTGTACGTATACAGATGGGGAAATCAATATCAAATTGTTATCGTTATCGTAATCGTTATCAAATTGGAAACGTAAGATTTCATGATTGATTGTATTTATAGATATGGGATTATTTTGTGAAGTTGTTTGATTTGTTTTTACAGTTTTGCGAATATTTAGCAGATGATGAGCGTATTTTATATGAAAGACGCGCGCGATTATTAAATTGATTTTGAATTTTTATTTTTTTTATTTTATGATACAGTTGATGAGCGCAGAGGCGAAAAGCGTATGATACACACAAGAGACGCATAAAAAACAGCAAACGGCCACGAAAACGAAAGAAAGAGAAAGAGAGAAAAATATATATGATATATAAAGAGCATTAGACTATATATAAAAATAGATGTATGTACTATATACAGAGAGTTACAAAAAAGCAATGGCATATTCACATGCATTGAAACTTACAAACAAACAAAAAAAGAACAAGCACAAACGATATTCGATATGTGATCTTCAATCTTTGACCTTCGATAGTCGACAAAGAATTTTTGATCTCTGATCATCGATGTTCAATCTACAGTTTTTGAGCTACGATGTAGTCTTCGATCTACACAGTTTTAGTCTACAATCTACATAATCAAAAAATATTGAACTTTTAATCTGTTATTTCCGATATACCATCAACGCTGTCTCTAAACTTTAATCTACAGTTTTCCAGGTTCAATATATAGTCATCAGCCTTCAATTTACTTGATCTTGAGATTTTATTCTACGACCTTCAGTCATCAATCTTCAATCTACGTTCTTCAGTTATCAATTTTCAATCTACAATTAATCCACATTCTTCGACATATAGCCATCAATCTTCAATCAATCTATAATTATCGAACTTTCTTCTTCTTCGATCTTTGATACATATTCGATCTCCGATTTGTGATCTACAATCTTGAATATTTGATCAGTGGTTTACTATCTACAATCTTCGGTCAATGATCTTTGATCAACAATCTTCGATCTGTAATATTAGGTTTCCGATCTACAATCAACAATTATCAAGCAACGATGCAAGATATACTCACTGCACAGGAGATGGGGCGGCAGCGGCAGGCGTTGGGAGACGTGGCGCCTCCGGATTTCGCTGGGGTCCCGTGACGGGCCGATACTCAAGCAGGTTGTACGTCTTCCAGAACAGATACTCGCGATAGTACTTGAGGCCCTCATAAAGCAGCGCAAGCAGAAAGATGGCTATCATCGAACCAATCAGACCAGCCACCGTGTCGATGTGCCACCACGAGAAGAGGATGGTCTCATCATAGCCAAAGTGGAACTGGACAAAATACAAACGGAGCAATAGAAAAATTTGATATTAATTTGAGTCTCTTTTGTTGTTACATGAATTTGGCTTGCGTCCTTACCGCCATGGACATCATGTGCTCCATGCCAGTGCCGGTGCCGCCACCGCCATGATGATGACCCGCATGCATGCTCATCGGCAGATCGCCGTGGGTCGTCGCCAAAGGCGGCGTCAGCGTGGTGGCATCCAGTCCCATGTGATCGTGATCGTGATGCATGTTTGCATGATCGTGGCCGTGCATGGAATGATCTATCAGTTTTAACGCAAATCAGACACGCATATATATACATATGTATATAGAGGGATCCAACGGATCTACTCACCAACAGCGGGTGCGTTGTGGTGTGCGTGTGGGTCCATTTCGCCGGCTGGTTCTATTGCTCTGTCCGATCAGCAGGGTTTATTGAACTGCGGCGAAATTCAAAGGTAATACGGAAATTTAGCCACAGCATCTGTGATGAGCGAGTCTGCCCGACTGCCCAGCATGCCCTTAGAGCTAATTTTAGTATATTTTGGCTAAGATGGATTATAAAATGGGTTATGCCTATGTATACACTTTTCAGATATTGCTAGTTGGATAGTTTTGGTCAGTTAAATCGAATTATATCGATTGTCGGCAAACTTAAGAGATATTAACCGAGCTTAGTCAGAGTCAGAGTTCTTCTTGTTGCCAGCTCTGCTTATTTGATTGATCTGAAATTCATTTGCATGTATATAGTTTCCATTCAACTTCATTTACTGTTACTTTGCCATGCGACCTAATCACCTTTATTCCATCTTCACATCGCCCAATTACGAATCTGAGCTATGTCTGCGATCACCCGTCGTTCAATCAATTGGTTTATTGCCAGCTAGAAAGTAATTCATTCACTTCCAGCAATCAAATGACGCAGCAGCTGTCCAAAAAAAAAAAAAAAAAAGACAATCGACATATATCTACATAGTATATGTATATTGTCTGCTTGTATGCTTATATGCTGCCACCTTTCACCCGCTGTTCATTTCAAATGAGCTTAGAAAGTTGCCCCAAGCGTCGGCCACGCCCCATTCGCGTATTTGCCCGCCACTCAGACAAAGGTCACAAATTCCTGTGGCATTCACTCAAATGAATTGAAATATCTCCGCATAGCTGTGCGTGCGTAGGGAAGCTGGATTAAAGCGAGAAAGAGCTAAGGGGAGAGTGGGAGAGCTGGAGAGAAAGAACGCGTGACGCAGTTGGGTCAGTCAGTCAGTCAGCTTTAAGCTGGRCGAGAAATTTTAAACAATTTTCCGCAATTTTAAGCAATTTGCCGCAGTTTAGTCAGTGCCAAATTCGAATCTGGCAACTAGGAAAGGTCAGGGAGAGAGAGATAGAGTGGGAGAGATGAGGGTGAAAGGTGATATAGAGCAGCTGTTCAGTAAACGAAATCTGATAAATAATAAAGGCTCTTGGAGAATGGACGATGCAGAAGCTATGATATAATATAAAACTTTTTACTCGAATAGGTAAAAGTTCAAGTGATACAGCTTATTTACTTAAAGACTATGATTCTTTAGTCTACAATGCGAATTGAGTCTAATTTTTACTTTCCAAATGTCATTGATCTCTGGCTACATAGATCGTCTAGATGTATGTTTATATGCATATAGAAAAACACTACTTATGTATATGTATATCCCTAATAACCCGCTCTTACGTAAAGTATAGAGCTAAACGACATTTTTAATAATATTGTATAAAACCTATATACTCTCATAGCATACATACATATGTGGCATAAACAGAGCAGCATATCTCTTAAGATAAGTAGCAGGAAATTTTGTCTTGTTGTATTGCTCTTGCTCCATTGTGCTGCAAACAAGTTTAATTATCTTGTTCGATAGCAAAGCTGATAATTATCGAGTTTTTTCGACTAGAGTAAATAGAGTGAACTAGAGTTGAGCAAATAGATTTATTAAGAGAAAACGACAGTATATAAACATTTCCTTATGCTTTATGCTACAGCCCTTCAATTATTTGGAAACACTTTTAAAGGATAACTCATCCAGTTATCGATAACATACAACACGAAAAACCTCTAGCCGCAATTAAAATAAATCACTTGAACTTTCGCTTTTACTTTTCTTCCCAAATCGTTGCACTGCACTCGCTCGACTATTCAGACTCGACTCAAGAGCCGCGTTGCGTCGTCCTCCTCGTCTGAGCCTCACCAACAGTCACAAATATATGTATATGGAGTATAGAGTATATGGCATATTGTATATATAGTAATATCATAATATTCCATATCTCACTGTTTATCACACTTAACCGCAATCGTCGCATCAACTTTTGTATATTTATTTTGCGATGTTTTCTTTTTTTCCTTTTTGAAACGGGGGCAACTGCAGTGGTAAAAATTTCAGATTGAGGCATTACACTTGTTCTGCTATGGTTTAGTTTGTTTGTTTGTGGTCTGTGACCGAGCAAACACACACACACACACGCTTACATACATAAGCGCATATCAGTGCAAATTAATGATAAGGCTGCATTTGGTGTGTTTCGATTGTCTGTGGTGGCTGGTGCTGTTTCTGCTCTTTCTGCTTCTGTTTTGGCATACCCTTCCAGCAGAGTATTTCAATTTGAGCATGCAATATGTGACGCATATAAATATATCTAATATGCAGTTGTGTTCAAGAAATTAGTGCTAACCATAAGATAAATGTAATGAACAATTTATTTTAGTTTATCAGATATACATTAATCTTAAAACTTATATTTTGTGCTAAGCCCTAGATTATGTTGTTGAAAATATTGCTCAGTTGCACTACTATTGTCATTAATACAGCTGCATATATAATCCTGATCAGCAGCAGCAATAATTGTCTAGGAAAAGTTCTGGAAACTTATCTTTAAATTTGGCTTTTTATTATCAGATAGCAAGATTTTAAAAGATAAACATTTCTATATATATATGTTAAGATTATCCATGCAGATCGGATTTTCCAGTTCGATATTTCATATTCGAACGATTGATTTTATTATTTACTATGCCACATATATAGCTCAGATTCTATTTAAAGAGCATTTCACACTTGACGTTTGCCTTATTTCCCATGTTCCACTCTCAACAACAGATATAATGGGAAGCTACAGGCAATTAACGCTACAAATATCGCGCATACATGAGTGTGTCTATATTATATAATATACATATTTAGATACTATAAATCGCCTGTGGAACAAACAGCTTTATCATTTTCATTAATTGCACTAATGCAATCATAATGATTCGACAGCTGTTTTTAGTAGGGGCGTACACTTTAGGGAGCTTTCACTGTGCACCAGTTCAAGACTGGTACTGTTTAAAGCTCATATAGTTTAGTTATTTATAATAGCTTTGAGCTATGGGAATTACCATTTTGTCTGGCGTATTACAGCCCTCTCCCCCTCGATCGTCCCCTCTTTCTTTCTGTTGGATTCCATTGCTTTATGCGATAAGCAATTCATGAGTGCCTCTCTCTCTCTCTGTTTGTTTGTGGTTTGTGTCCCTTACTCTCTTTCTCTCACTCAACATTCATCTCTGAAATTACCTTATTATAACTTTTTAGGAATTACCTACTTTTCATTCGCGTGGCACGCCCCCTGGCTAGTGGCTCCCGTCAGCGTATCTGAGTTCAGTTAGCCCCAGTTTCGAGAATCCGGTTTTTCCAGCTACTTTATATGAAATATCTCTTTTCGCTTTTGCAATTAGACTTGTAAAAATCAAATGTGGAACTACCAAAGCGAATGCGCACTCCACGTTGGCTAAGTGACTCAGTCAGTCACGTGACACAGTCTCCATCCATATCCGGGCTAAGATCAGAAAGAACTCAAATGGAACCAATATAGCATGTAGTGAATGTGCTACGACTGGCACGACTATTGAATGCTCTGCATAATGTTGGATGTTACAACATTAATTAGTACATCGATTGCAAGCTATATAAGAAATTTAGTCTCCAAACTATCAATAGAAAATAGTCGAAGCTTGTATTGTCTTTAACAATTCATAGATACATAAGTACATACTTGCATAAATTTAAATAATATACCCCATTTACAGGGTATTTCTATAATTGATAGAAAACGAGTTCCAAATCACAATCACAAGATTTGATATTCACTTTGTCTATACGAAATCGTGCTAAGAATTATTTGTATATATGTACATACATACAAATATAAACCAAACGACTATCGCATGTAATTCGACAAGAAAGCAACCGCAATAAAATTAAAAATAAAAACAGTATAAAAACCAGCTGCTTTTTTTTTTTGCATTGTTTTTTCCTTTTTTTTTTAGCAAAGATAAGCCAAAAGGCAAGTGCAAAAAGTAAATCCGAACGGTAAACCACATTCCTTCGCTCTTACTCCCTCTTCTACACTGACCCCACCATACATATTGTATATAAGAATATATTACTATATACACTACACAAATGTCCATCACTGATGGCCCATAACGGCATTATGTATGCTTGCTTATTCCAATTCGAGAGAGCCAAAAAGACGTTCACCTTGATGCCAATTGAGCCCGAGCGGCGCTCAACTGGCCCAACGGGTTGGCGCTCTGCTGGCCACAATTGTTATTTCATACCAGCTCGAAATTACTTATTTCAAAAAATTGTTTCTCAAACTTTGCTCCACATGCTCCGAAGTTATTTTATTTGAAAATATATTTAAAGTCGCTAAGCGATCTTTGAAAGCAAGCGGGATTTATGCGGATTGCTATTTGGGGGATATTTGGTAGATATTCATAGCAGATGCTTGATAATATAATTAATGCATTACTTAAATTCTTAAAGATCCATATTCATATATGCACTTATATTTATAATAGATTATGTGCATATATCTATCGGTTTTAGAATTCTAGCATCAATGTTACATATATGTCTCTAAAATTGCTTTATAACTGCTTTAACAGTTAAGTGTTTTCGAGATAAATATATTTTTTATAAACTTTAATTTCCAATATTAATAAATCACAAGAGAAAACTTATCTAAATTTTTTTCTCGAATATTTTACTTACTGTAACGGTTCTTAGTATATTCACAGAATTAAAAGTAAACAAAATAAACTTTAAATTTATTTCTTCAAGTTTTTATTAGATATATGTGTATATTATATATTTTTAAATAACAAACAAATTAAAAATAAAAAAAAAAATAAAAAAACTTTAAAGCAACTCAAACAATATGTTAGATATACTATCCATATATGTATATAGCTCTAAAGTATATTCACAGAACATGTATAAAAAATATATATATCTTCATTATTTTTCGCCCTCTCTTTGTTGCTCTATTCAGTTCACTGCCTAGTTTAGGCACATTTTGAGCAAGCAAAACTTAAGCTATCATTGGTTAAATTGTTAGTATTTGTCTTCTTCTTGTTTTGTGTGTATTTCTTCATGTTGTTAATACAAATATGTATTAGAAATATATCTATAAATGTCTTAAGAATTAATGAACAAATTAAAAAACAAAACAGAAACAAAAACTTTAAAGCAGCAATATGTTAGACATACTATATATAAAGCTCTAAAGTATATTCACAGAACATGTATAAAAAATAAAAAAAATAAAATATCTTCATTATTTTTCAGCCTTTCTTTGCTTTTCTATTCAGTTCAGTACCTATTCTAGGCATATGTTTAGCAAGCAAATAAAAAGTAAAAGCTATTATTGATTAAATTGTTAGTATTTTTAGTCTTCCTGTTTTGTGTGTGTGTGTTTTACAAGAGTCGTCTAGTGCTGACTAGCTTTTGAGTGTTACATGGTAATTAAAATTAAAAAAAAAAATTATAAACTAAAATAAATGTGATTCATTCTTATCAGCACCAGCTGCGATCGTGGAAAGTGTTTCACTTGTCTAGGAGTCCGAATTGACGCATCTTGTTCAGGTAGAAACGCTCGAGAGTCGTGGCACAGCGATAGTAATCGGTATTGGGTGCGTTGAAGCTGCGGCAATTGGAAAACATACGCGCCATGTCGGCCATGAAGAGGCGACGCGTTTTATAGTAGCCACGCTCGAGGCGCTCACCCACAGTCTTCAGGTCCATTGGATATTTGATATGGACATAATAGTCGGGTACGTCTTTGGGATTGACGGGCGATAGGAAGGGCCAGGCAGTGGTTTGGCGTCGCATCGCCTGCAGCACTGCCTCGAATAGGCCCGTTAGATGGGCAGGATTTGATCGTTCCTCGACACGAGTGGCCGAAAAATTCGGGTGCCAGCCGATCTCTTTGAGCCCCGGTATCGAAGCGATTGGTATAGCGGCGACCCCATGCTTGAAGCACGTTAGGCCGGTTCGCACCCTCTCCACCTCCTTCTGGCGCTGTGCAATCAATTCATTAAGGACTTCTTTTTGCTGGCGTATGGTCGATGTGATTTGGGTGTTCACAATGCCCGGATGGAGCTCGCAGTGCATTAGAGTGGCACTATCGTACTCCTTGATAAAGCCCTCGTAGATGGGCCGTGCCAGACGTATCTTGTTTGAGAAGCCCTGCTTCTTGAAATAGCCAATGGCATTGCAGTCGGCATAGGCCAGCAGATGCTGAATGCCCTTCTGCATGATGTAGTCCTTCAAGTGATTCATCAAATAGCTGCCATAGCCCTTCACCTGTTCCGGCATGGAGATCGCACAGAACACAATCTCGGTGAAGCCTTGGGTGGGAAACATACGAAAACAGATCCCACCAATAGCCTGACCCTTCTTAGCCAACACGATCGTCTTGTGCATGGGATCGTACAGCAGTCGGGTTATATAAGTGGGTGGCATCTCCGGCAGCTGTTGCCCGAATACCGATTGAAGAGCAATCAGAAAGATCGCAGTCTGCTTATCAACGTCCTTTGTCAAAGAGTTGCTAATGCAATGGAACTCAATGATGCCCTTCTGCTCCTCGGCTTTCACGATCTCATCTTGGGGTACACTTAACGGATTCAGTAATGTAGGCTTGATTGCAGCCTTCGACTCCTTTATAGCATTAATGGCACGATAGACCGCATCGATCGGCAGATCATTTTCCTTATTATTAGCATTGCTTGTAGTCGTTTTACTACTACTATTCCACATTTTTTCGTAACTAGGTTGCCCAATAATCAATAAACTTGAGTAATCGAGAAAAATAATAATAATAATTAATATATAAAAAAAAAAAATTGTTGTGCTAACCAAGATGTGAAGAACTAGGGCTACAAAGGTCGACCAAAACTACAAACTAAATGGAAATACTACTAACTACTTATACTGTTAATTAACAACTATTTACGAATTGGTAACCGTCAAATTTACCATTTACCATTCGCGCCATTGCACAATAATCTTTGTGGAGGTATCAAAGATCAGCTAAATGGCAAATGGCTAACGGACATTCAAGTTCCCGTTTCATGTGTTGCTGGCGTCTCACTCTTCGTTCAAAAGACTCGCTTTCAGCTGGAGACATTAGCAACTTCATTAGCAACCCGCAGCATTATGCTCAGAGCTGTTGTATGTTATTTACATACAAACATATTATATTTGCATATACATACACATGTGCAACAAATACAAATATAAAAGAATGCACGTTTCTTCTATATCTATACAGTTATTTACTTATCATTGCTAAATTCAGCAAAACTCGCCAGTTAATCAATTGTGCATCGCGCATAGCAATCACTTGTAATCGCTATCATAATCGCTGTGCACGAGCAAACTGTTTTTTAAGCAGCGAGAGCACGAGTAAGTGCTGAACAGAGCAAGTGGCCGAGAGAGAGAGAGAGAGAGAGAGAGAGAAAGAGAGAGCAACTCTTTGACAGCTGACAGAAGGAAGACTGTGAATTGCTGCATGTGTTAGTTGGTGCGTTCACTAACACACGCACACAGCTGTGCAGCGGAGGAGGTGGAAATAGAGTAAACTCACTTTGTATGCTTATGTGTGTGTGCGTGCATGTGCTGTTACGTCACAGCGCGCGCTACATTTAAGTTTCGAGACAACTGCAAATATTGCACCATGCGATCTAAATTCGAAATCGATCGCAAAACCAACAAAAAATAACACAGATTTAAATACCAACAGTCGCACACACACACGCACGTGACCGTTTCTCTCTCTCCGTGCATTTGTGTGCGTGCATATAGCAGTTAAAGGTTGATTAACGAATGGAGCTGCAGCCACTGATAAACTGGCTCCGCACGTTCTTTTATTTGTTGATAAGTATTTGTATGTGTGTATATACTAAAGGCAACTATAGCAACATTACATTATGTTATTGTATAAATATGTGTATATATGTATTTGTATTAAATGATTGTACTTACTGCACTATGTAAGTCTGCGCCAAAAATTCCAAATGCAAATGCAAACAAGTGTAAGCCGGTGTATACAAAAGTCAACGGAATGTGCGAAGCTGAAACAGAAATCGGCAGTAAATAAACGATATATGCTATTATTATTTTTCTCTCTTTTTCGGGAGTGTAATCACTGTTTGAATAAGCTACACACACGCACAGCATAACATGACAAACGGAATTATATAGTTGTATTTATCGCAGTCAAATTATCGTTTAACATTTCGCATGCTGTTCGTGCTTGCAACATCAGAGAGAGTGATGCACAATCAGAACAGCTGTTCATAACGGCATAATTGAACAATCAAAATCATCGTTGACAACGACGATGGCGACGGCGGAGATGTTCACTGAGCGCAGTTGGCGAATCCATTAGCATAACAATAATGCGAATATGTCCAGCACTTTTATTCATTGAATGCACAAACATAACATAACAAGAAAAAAATTTAATGAATACGATAGCAAGAAAGCGCACTACAGCGTTATTTAATCACATATCAAAGAAACATGTTTCTGTTTCGCGGTGTGTGCATTAATGGCTTAGCACTTATGTATTGCATTATTGGACTTTAATTGAGTTACTGTTTATTTAATAATACGGTTATTATTTACTTCTTTTTTTCGTATTGGTATTGAATAAAAAATAAACAACCAAAAAATGCGCACGTCCGCCCGCAGACAACTTGTTCGCACGATTAAAGTTTCGTTTCCTTCATGGCACCATCAGTGAGAAAACGATTGTTGAGCTTTTCGATCTACTAACCGATTTTTGTTTACTATCGAGTATTTACATTTCTCTTACTTTCAAATATCGAATAAGTATGAATGAACATAATAAAAAAAATTTATTTGCAAAAAACATAAAAACTAAGGAAAACTGACTTTTTTTTTTAATGTAACGTAATGTTACATCACAATTATTAACGCATTAAATAAATATAAAACAGCTGTAAAGTGTGTACACAGCTGTTAGTGTGTACACACTGACATACCCAATAGCCGCTACATAGTGTGTACCCAACAGATTTAATTTGTCTCCTATTTATACGCAGTAAATAGGAAAAAGAAGGAAGAAAGCGCCGTGAATTTAACAAAAGAGGTGGGTATGTAAATTAAGTGCAACAAGTATATAAAACTGATTCTAATTCATATTTTCTGTAAATTGTTTTTCAGCCTATAGCTTTTGAAGCAGCTGTTGCGCACTCTGAAGAGATCAAAACAAACACCACGTGCAGCCGACATTTGCAACAAGCAAGGCAGATTCTCTAATTTTTGTTTTCGTCAGCTGTTTCTATCACAAACGCCTCAAGATGGGTATGGTACAGAAGCGCAAGAAGATGCACTATGGCGATACGCACCTTCAGCGTCGCTGGCGTGTGCGTAACCGGCGCAGAGATTTGGACCAGATCGACGAGGATATGCGCACACGCAGCGGAGAGCTGATCAACCAAAGCGTTGACCTGGATAAGCCGGGCTTTGCACAGTTCTACTGCGTCCATTGTGCCAAGTACTTTATCGACGATAGATCCATGCAGGCGCACTTCCGCACCAAGGTGCACAAGCGGCGTCTCAAGGCACTCGAAACGGAGCCATACAGCATTGAGGAATCGGAACGGGCGGCTGGCCGCGGCAGCTTTAAGCAGCCCAAAAAGCGCGTCATTGAGACACAGCCCAGCAAGGAGGAGGCCAAGGCTGGCAAACGTATCAAAATTGAGGAGAAACCCGAAGACAGTAATGACATGGAAGAGGATGCGCCCACAACGTCCGCGAAAAAGACACGAAAAAGAGCAAAGAAAGCGGAGACCTGAACCTGAATGGCAAATAATAGGAAGACTTAAGGATCTACTAGCTCGATAGATAAGTCTTTAATCTTTTTTTTTTTTACAAGATTGAAAAATTATATAAATATATACGTATGTATATAAAATGAATGAAAAATATATTTAACGAATGTTAAATTTCCTTTCTGTTTTCTCTACTACATTATAAAAAGGAACTTGGTGCAGACTTTAAACCAGGGCTGTAAATCACTAAAAGGATGGGATTTTAAATTCCCTTAGTGTGCTCATTAGTGAAGGAATCAAACCAGGGCTGTGAGCTGGGAATCAGTGTGGTTCATGTTCAGCTCCGATCCTTCATGCTTCTCTTTTTCGTTGGCAAAAAGCTTAAATAAAAAATAAATTGTTTTTCTCATTCTATACAAATTGTACGGTATAAATATATTTGTTTTCTGCAGACATGATCTACTTATGCATATGTATATATGTACACATACTCTAATAATATATACAAACTAAGAGATATTCGAATAATATTTAACAATTTACAATTAATTTCTTTTATATGTTGGAGCAGAACTAGCTGCTCCTGTTTTCATATTCATTCTCTTTTATTAATTAAGTACTAAAATTGCAGTTTTATAAACTATTTTGTCCATTTGTGTTTTGCATTTGGTTTGATTGGTAAAAAAAACGAGTTTTTAATTATATTAAGTGTAGATTTAATGTATGTATTTTTTGGTGTACATAAAATTGGTTTTAGCCGAAAAGCGAACGGTTTTTGATTTGGATATTGAGTATATGTAATGAAGGAAAGCTAAAAAAATGCTGAGGTATGTAATTTCTTTTGTTTTGTTTCTATAACTAAATAATTCTGTTTGTTTTTTCTATTTTTTTTTAAGTTGCGACCGTTATGGGCGGCTAATTTTAGTTTTTATGTTATTCTTGTTTTTGTGTTGCTATGTAATCCTCTGTGTGTATATGGATGATATGCATAGAGCCAGGATGATTACTGGGGCAGTGTGTATGTGTGTGTGTTTGTGTGGGCGCAGGGCGTTATTTTTTAATGTTAGAATTTTCTGTGTGTATGTGTATGTATGTGTGCATACGCCCGTGCGTGCGTGTGTGTGTATATATGCATATATATACGACTATGTTTACCACTGGATTTCAATGCCAAAAAAAAAAATGTATATATATCTATACATATATATCTATCATAAGTTTCAGAGGATTTTGTATAAATGGGTTCTGTTTCGACTAGTTTTCACAGTTTGTGTAGAGTTGGTTGTAGCTGCTCAGGATTGGACGCAACATTTTGTGACGTCCCGTTTTTCGTAGCGCGCCTGCGCGTCTGTTGCTTGCTAGTTGCCTTGAGCGATGGTGAAGCCGCGGCAGCGGTAGGAGCAACGGCAACGGCAGCGGGAGGAGCAAGGAGTACAGTTGGTGCGGGCGGATCAGCCGTCTGATGCTCCATGGTAAAGAATGGATGATTGAGCGCCTGCTCGGCGGTAATGCGCTTGTGGGGGTTTATTTCGAGCAAGCGTCCCAGCAGATCATAGGCGCTCGCTGGAAAGCATTCGTATGGGTCCAGCGGCTCAGTTACGTAGACGCTATCCTCGCAAAGGCAATTGAAGAAATATTGATCACAGTTCTTGCACACATCGATCCGGCCGTCAGGCGACTCGTGTTTGCGCACCATCTCCTGGTCGCTGAAGATCAAACGATTGCGGAAGCGTAGACAGAGCTTGCGCAGATTCAATGGCTTTGAGCGCTGGCTGAGGGTGACCATGCGCTCCAGTGCCAGCGCAGTCTTGCGTATGGCCCGGTCCCCAAAGATGGTCACAATCTCAGCCAGAGCAACAAAATCGTTGGGCGCCTTAAAGAACGGATAGACGGCAGACAGTATGGAGAGAAAGATGACGCCCGCTGCCCAGATATCCACAGCTGTCGTCTGATCCGCATACTTGAGCAGCACCTCCGGCGGACGGTAGCCCGGAGTGCCGGCTCGCGAGGCGTGCACCTCCTTCTTGGTTAGGCAATTTATGCAAACGGAGGGATTCGCAAAGCAAAAACATTTCGAGTTATTGCCGCCGCCAGCCGTGCGATTTGTATTGTACTTGGTCCCAGTGGCGCTGCTAGCGTGAGCAACTGGCGGCTCCTGCTGCACTAGCTGCGGCTGAGCAGCTGGCCCCTGCTGTGGCTGTATGGTGCTGTTGGTAATTGATATAACCGCTGCTGCCGCTCCACTCCCCTCAGGCAAACTCTGTTTGCCATCGTTGAGCATCAGTTCTCCGGCAGCCTTGGCGCTCTGCGCTATCTCGTTGACCGGCTTGAGCGGCATCTTGTTCCAGTTGATTGACTCCTCAATCAGGCGCATGCGCTTGACGCCACCACCGAGTGTAGCCTCTGGGGAAGCTGAAGAGAGCTGTTGCTGCTGCTGCAGCTGTTGACGCTGTGGATGTGGCTCACGCTCGCGCGGACGCTTGCTGTTAGCTGCCAGTTGCTGCTGCTGCGCCGGATACTGCTGCTGCTGTTGTTGTTGTTGTTGGGGCGCATGGCCGGCAGGGACATTGACATGCTGCGCCAGCCCAAAGTCAACGAGTAGAAACTGGCCCTGGCGACGATTGTACAGAAAATTGCTGGGCTTCACATCGCGGTGGATGATGTTGAACTTGTGCACATGGCGCAGGGCCAACAGCAGATTGCGCATGTACAGGCGAATCTCCGGCACATCCATTTTTGTGTAGAAGTCATGGAAGCGATCGTGTGGCATATAGGGCATCACAAAGGCCGCCGATGCCTCGCAGCGTAAGCAGCAGTGGATCCCAACGACATTGTCGGTGCCTCTATAAAAGAAAAGAGACAGAGTATTAGATTATATGATTGTGGGTAAAAAATGGAGAGGATAGGGTGAGACTAGAAAAGGTGCGAGGGAACTACAGATGAATACTGAGCGGGAGACAAAAGCTTATGGAGGTATTGAAGCTAGTGAGCCGTTATAAATCAGAGAAGGATCGACATGAGCGCCTTTAAAAAGATAATAACTTTCTCTTGTCAAACGAGAGATAAGAATTGATGATTTTGGAAGATGTATGTATATACATATATAAAATGTAAGCTATTCTGGCTATTATATTCCCATATGTCCCCCAAGGGTTAAACAATTGCGGCCATTTGTTGGTTAACGTTTTGCTAATGTGCGAATTCTTTGGCAAGTTTCGCCCGTTCTGTTGTTAACAGTTCCATAAAGAAGTAAATTTAGTATTAATTGAATTAAGAGAGAAACTCGAGAGGAGATACTGGCTCTGTTGGTCATCCATTCGCCGCCTTCTCTTTCTTATGCCCTACAACATTGGCTGGAGAAGGGTCGCCCACGTCGATGGACGAGGGTCGACGTCATTGCAATGATTATTAGCCAAGCAGTGCGCACGACTCGAAATCCCCGTCGTTCCCATATCATAATTGTTAAACGCTGTGACGCAATTCGGCAATGGAATTTGCGCAAATTGAATGGATAAGGACAGGAATATACACTCACACATCGTTAGATATGCATATGAACAGCAAGAGAGTGAAAGAGATAGAGAGAGCGAAAGAGGAAGCAGTGGCTGTACAACCGGCCGGCTGACCGCCTGACTAATGTTATGTTTAGAGCAGCCAATCCCCCACCCACCCCAGCCAATCGCCCACCTTGTCGACCCACGCAGAGAGCGTTGTCTGTTTCACCATCTCCTTCTCTGGCTCGCCTGTTAGACATAAATAATACCAGCTGAGCAGAAAAGAGGGGAGCAAAGTGAACCCTACTGAAACTCAAGCCGGCTGCCATTTGGTATTTAGGCATATTTTTGCGATAACCTTGCCCAAGGTAGTTCAGAGCGGAATTGAATGATTTGTCTACGTCATCAGACAAACACACACGAACACAAGTGTGTATTGCTTATCTAATCTGAGCCAGGCAGAGTGAATAGTATCGATAGTATGCAAGTACACACCGGCACTGTAATCGATACTTATTGGAAGGATATGCAAAGTAGCTACAACAATTCCAAACAATCCATTTTATGAAGATGACACTGCTCTCACACATATATATATACATTTGGTATATGCATGTTTGTATGCCTAAGTGTACTTGTATACACATGCATACATGTGTGCGAGTGTGTGTCTGGCTGTTTAAGTGTACATGAAATTGCTTGCATGATTTGTAAACAAACGTTACACGAGAAATGATTGGCAAATGCGAGCGACCGAACGAGGAAAAGAGAGGCTGGCGACCATGTAACTGAGAAGGTAGCTAGCACGTGAATGGTGTGTGAAAGTGCAATAAACGTCAGACCGATGGCAATGGGAGTGGGAGCAGGAGCGGGAATGAGAACGCCAACGGCAACTTGAAATAAATTGCAATGACGTATATGCCGTTGGCACGTAGAATCGAAGAGACGTCTACGGCAGCCGGCTGACGTCGTTCGTGACGCTCTCTCAGTGAAAAGGCAGCACACACACACGCGCATATACATATGTATGTATATGCATAAATAATTCGCTGAGAAATTATTTACATTTTTGTCTTGCAATTGGTAATTATAAATTTTCATATTGATAATATTGGAATGTGGTAGACTTACCCCATGTCAGTCATGCACTGCAGCTCCTTCATAATGCGGTCCGGATGGCTGGTGGGTATGTGATGCTTGATAGCAAACTTGCGCCGCATATTCTCCGGTAACTGTGCTTCCCGCTTAAGTGTGGCCAGGAGCACAGTGCTAAAGGTTCCGTTGCCAATTCTACTCTGCACATCAAATATTTGCCCAATGTCCGGTATGCGCTGCAGCAGATCGTTGATGGCCTCTGAAAATTGAAATTGTCAATATTTAATAAGAAAATGACAGCTTTTGTTAAATCTAAAATCACTTGCCCCCTCCCTCTACCACTCACTGTCTTATGCATAAAAATAGATTTGAATAGGAACGAATACACACACACATAATTCGCAAACTCTCACTCACACACACTTAGTACATTTGCACGGAATAGAAAACACAAATTCAAAATGGTTGCCTTACCGTCGCTTTTGTTGCGTGGCTTCGTCCTGTAATTCGCCGCAATTGTTGCATATTGTTCGCCTATTCCCAACACTGGCGGATGCTTTTGGATTTTCACAATACCATTRTAGTTGTTGTTGTTATTTTGCTTATTATTCGCTATGTTTGCCGTCGCTGTGGCTGCCAAAGCGGCCAAATCTACTGCTGCTCTTGCGCGTGCAGCTGTAATCGCTGCAGTTGTTGTTTGAATCGGCTGCTCGTCCTGGTGCGGCCAAGAATGCATGCCTCTGCCCGCAGTCGGCGGTACGTTTACGCTCATGCCTTGAAATGTAGCCGCTAACTTTGGACTCGAGTTGCCATCCACTGCTGCTGCTGCTGCTACTGCTGCTCCAGTAGTTGTAGTAGTAGTAGTAGTAGTAGTAGTAGTAACAGCAGTTGTTGCATTGCTAGCTTTCTGCTGTTGCAGATTCCTCGGTTTGGATGCGGCCTTGGTGGTGCTTAGCCTATTAGCATGTGCATTGGTTTTCTTGGCTGGACCAGCCGGCATAGTCGCGTTTCCGCAGCGTCCATTGCCGGAATTGACGCGCTTCTCCATTTCACGGGCTCTCTTCTCACGCAACGCAATCAGCAGCAGCATCGGCCCGAGCTGGCTTAAGCAAATTCTTGACAACCGTTTTTTATTGGCTCGCCGCGTTTATATGGAATGGCCTTTTTTCTTATTTTTGGTTTTTTTTTTCTTGCTATAAATACATGGAAATTTAGTCCGAAATCGCGATTAAAATTATACGTCTCTAATTTGGTTTTTAAAAATTTAGAAATTTTTCTTTTTCGTAATATATTTTTTTAGGTGCCGAACAGCACTGTTGAGCGCTGTAATGTTAGTGAGGAATAGGGTTTTTTTTCGCCTTTAACAGTAGGCAAAATTTGAATCGCTTACTTTTTTTTTAGTTTTTTAGTCAATCTTGATTCCGTTTGGCTTGTTTCTGTTGCTGTCGTTCCCGCTGTTACTCGCCTGGTAAACCGATGTTAATTTTGGCGAATATCAGCGGGATGTATTTCGCTCTCCTCTCGAACTTTCCGAATTTATTATTTTTGTTAAATGCGACCATCAAGTTACTTAGTCTATGCCTGCCAGGCCATTGAAATTCTTTGACAATTCGCCGATGGCGACAAATGGCGACCAGCTGATGAGGACAGTGTTGTCCACGCTGGTATATCGGTTCGCTGCAGCGTTGTCCATCGATAAATTTGTGCACTGATGACCGCGAAATTTAAACACCCAATTCAATTCATTATGAATTGATGCATTTGATAAACTGACGCTAAACTAAAAATTTAAGAACGCAATTCAATTTTAATAATTATGAATAGATACAAGTTGATAAACTGACACTACGCTACGACTAAAAATGCATACAGCCATAAATTATAACATGACATGGAATTATTGAATACAAATGTGGACTAAAACATAAAAATGTGGTTAAAACAGAAAAAAAAATAAAGAGAAAAACGCCAGCGCTAACATAGAAATAGAAATACAATAAATAATGAATATTCAACGCCTTGACTCGTTGGCCAACAGTGGTATACCCACTGTATAGGTAGCTGTGCTGGTATCGATCTGATTGGGATCGTCGCAACGGGCACAGGGTCCCAGTAGACGCAGCATGCGAGCAGCCAGGGATTTCTTCCTTTGGCCAATGTGCGCATTGGCCGTGTACTGAAGCATGCTGAACTGGCTCTGGTTGATTGAGCTGCCGTTGCTCGACTCATGCGGATTGAGTGGCACCAGCTCAATGACCCGATTGCTGTGCTTGTCAAAGTAAATCAATCCTTCACGTTGTGCCCACTCGCGCATGGGTCCATAATTGACTCGCGGTGATCGCAGCTCGTTACCCTCTATCTCAATGGCTGAGTCATTGCTGCTGGGATGACTGCTGCCTGAGTGGTTTGTGGTGGCGCCATTAGTGCCAGTTGGTTCCATGCTAACGCCAACTGCAACACCTGCTACAATTAGCAAATGGTTTTTAATTGCTCATTATTATTTATTAATATATATACTTAACGCTTGCCCAGTGACATCAGTGTCGGCACTGTCGTTGCTAAAGTTTAGGGACAAACGCTTTATTATCCCGCTCTTCTTGACCGATTTGGTCAGTTTCAGTTGGTGAGCCGCCGGCTGCACGCTGAGCAACGGTATTTCAATTGAACCGACGCTGCTATCGTAAGTGATGTCATTCAGGTTTGTGTTAGGATGTGGTGTTGCATTTGCCGCTAAGGCGGGCATATTCGAAAGATTGGATAAATTGGCCATAACTGGCAAATCTGTTTGTGTGGCGACGCTCTCATTGGGGGGACAATAGACGAGTGAGCGCAGCGATTGGGCAGCAACTGGAGCAACGGCTTGACGTTTAAGCTTCTCCTTGCAATCGGTTAGCTCCGTTCGTATGACCTCGAAGTTCTTTCGCAGGACAAGATTATCGTTGATCTTCTTGTAAAGCCTGCTCTCCAGGTAATCATTGTACGACTGCAAATGATCTTTCTCGCTGACCAATCGCTCGTAGCTCTCGTCGCGTACGTGCATGTCTGTGCTGCTGCTATTGGCCAGCGAGAGCGAATGATCTATTTTCTGCTGGTCGTCGGTACCGCCTCGGGGCGTGAGCGATTCGGGCATCGATCGGTGCCTTTGAAATGTGCTGGCTGAGGTGCGACGCTGTTTCTCCTGGTCGTGTATGTCCGCAATGTATTTGCTCACTTTGCTCGTCACGTGCTTGTACGTTCGCTTCGTGTATGCCGTGTGTATGTCCTGATAGGAAACCGCTTTATTGCTGCGCCCACTTCCCAGCTGTAGGTGCGTATCGGTCACCCCATTGTTGCCTGCAATAACATGTATGAATCATTATGATAGTGGATCATGCTGCCACTCACTACGTTTGGCCCCACTTTCCGTGTGTTCCATGCCGAGAGGATCGCTGGAGCACGTTTTTTCTGAGCAGTCGCTGTTTAAAAATGGCGACACTTGGCGCTCAATGTTATCGGGCACATCAAGCCCCAAACACATGCTGTATTGACGCTGAAAACTTTGGTTATTGCCATCGCTGGCTATGGTGGCGTTTAATTGGTCAAACAGTTCATCAGTGGGAAAGCTTTCGTCTTGCAGACTCATATTTTATATTGGACCAATTAGAAAATCTAATTGCGCAAAACTGGAAAAGCACCGTTACGTTGCAGTATTGCCAACACATAAATACATTGAAAATAACTGTTTCGATTTTCACTACCAATCGATAAGCTATGCATTTTTATTTAGTATTTCAGTATTTATAAATGTCGTGATAAGTATCGTGAGTTGTAGCACATCTCTCTGAATATCGATATTTTTAGAGGACACATCCATAAGCCGGCGTCATTATTGCTCGAAGTTTCTACGATTCAGTTATACAAATTTTAGTAAGAGCCTGACTCTTATAAACTTGAAGGAAAATGCCCGTCGAACAAGTAAGTAGACAAAGAGTGATGAATTAAAATAAACTGAATGTAAAAAACGTGTTAATTGCCACAGCTAAAGGCCGAAGTCGCCGAGTGCATTGCACTGTTGGAGCTAGCAAAAACTGCGCGTGTAAAAGGCGCGTTAACCCAGGCTAAGGCTGAAGCAGAGCGCGAAATTATTAACCTAGAGATAAAAGCACGCCTGGCAGCCGAACGAAAAGCTGGTCCAGAAACGAAGCGGTAAGCATTTCAAAAATTAATTTCACTATATACCTATGTATATATACATATAATGAAACTGAAATATGCCCATCAGCTATCTACACGAGCTCACAGACTACGGCTGGGATCAAAGCGCCAAGTTTATTAAGCTGTTCATAACGCTGCCCGGCGTTCAGAACTGTGCCGAGGAGGCAGTCACAGTTCACTACACGGAAAACTCAATGCAGTTGTATGTGAGCGATCTCAACGGCAAAGATTTTGGGCTCACCGTCAACAATCTGCTCTATGCCATCGATGTTGAGAAGAGTTATCGGAAGCTGAAGACCGACATGGTTGCTATTTATTTGAAGAAGGTCGAGGAAGATAAGAGCTGGGACGTTCTAACATCCATACAGAAGCGTCTAAAACAGAAGCAGGATAGCGAGTTGTCTAAGGATAGTGAAAATCCCGAGGGTGCATTGGTCAACATTATGAAGAAAATGTACAACTCCGGCGATTCAAAAACAAAGCAAATGATTGCCAAGGCTTGGACCGAGAGTCAAGACAAGGCTCGTTTTGGTATGGACAGTAGCAGTCTGGGAGATCTGTAGGGTAGTAGAATTAGTTGAGGAAAACAGAAGAGTTCTAATGAAGAATAGTATATAAACAATAAATATATGTATATTCCATAAAAATACATGTTAACTTTTATGAATTCACATTCAAAGTTCGCTTTTGTTCAGTGAACCAGTGCTGCACCAACCTAGCGATAACAACCGATTTGACTATCGAATCTGTGAGGTAATCCAAGCTTGGTGCTGCGACATTCGCACTATTTGCATTTAACGTATTTTTGAATTTCAGGAGAATTTCTTCGCCTGATTATTGTTAATTAGTTGCAGATGCACATGCTAATTTACCTTGACGACAGGTGAGCACGATGCGTATCCGCATACGTTGCAACGAGTTCGTTTCTATAATAGCTCCACTAATTAAGCAATATGTTGCCTGTCAGACTTTTTCCTGCAGCTAATTTGCTATGCTAGACTTGACGTCCAGATTAGGTGTGTGAAATAAAACTCGAAATTGTGTGCGTTTTTCGTTTTCTTTTATCGTTTATACTTTATTTATATATT